ATTCGACAAAGTACAGCATCCCTTTATGTTCAAAACATTAGAAAAACTAGGGATAACAGGAACCTACCTCGACATTGTAAAAGCTATCTATGCTAAGCCTCAGGCTAGCATCATTCTCAATGGAGAAAAATTGAAGACATTCCCCCTAAAATCTGGAACAAGACAGGGATGCCCTCTATCACCACTTCTATTCAATATAGTTCTCGAAACACTGGCCAGAGCAATTAGACAGACGAAAGAAATTAAAGGCATAAAAATAGGAAAGGAAGAACTTAAATTATCACTATTTGCAGATGACATGATTCTATACCTAGAAGACCCAAAAGGGTCTACAAAAAAACTACTAGAACTAATAAATGAATTAAGCAAAGTGGCAGGATATAAAATCAACACGCATAAATCAAAGGCATTTCTGTATATCAGCGACAAAACTTCTGAAACGGAAATGAGGAAAAACACTCCATTCACAATATCCTCAAAAAAAATAAAATACTTGGGAATCAACCTAACAAAAGAGGTGAAAGATTTATATAATGAAAACTACAAAACCCTAAAAAGAGAAGTAGAAGAAGATCTTAGAAGATGGAAAATTATACCCTGTCCATGGATAGGCAGAACTAACATCATCAAAATGGCGATATTACCAAAAGTTCTCTATAGGTTTAATGCAATGCCAATCAAAATCCCAACGGCATTTCTTGTAGAAATGGATAAAGCAATCATGAAATTCATATGGAAAAATAAAAGACCCAGAATAGCAAAAGCAATTCTAAGCAGGAAGTGCGAATCAGGCGGTATAGCGATACCAGACTTAAAACTATATTACAGAGCAATAGTAACAAAAACAGCATGGTACTGGTACCAAAACAGGATGGTGGACCAATGGTACAGAATAGAGGACACAGAGACTAATCCACAAAGCTACAACTATCTTATATTTGATAAAGGAGCTAAAAGCATGCAATGGAGGGAGGATAGCATCTTCAACAAATGGTGCTGGGAAAACTGGAAATCCATATGCAACAAAATGAAACTGAATCCCCTCCTCTCGCCATGCACAAAAGTTAACTCAAAGTGGATCAAGGAGCTAGATATCAAATCAGAGACTCTGCGTCTGATAGAAGAAAAAGTTGGCTCCGATCTACATATTGTAGGGTCGGGCTCCAAATTCCTTAATAGGACACCCATAGCACAAAAGTTGATAACAAAAATCAACAAATGGGACTTACTTAAACTGAAAAGTTTTCTCTCAGCAAGAGAAACAATAAAAGAGGTAAATAGGGAGCCTACATCATGGGAACAAATTTTTACTCCTCACACTTCAGATAGAGCCCTAATATCCAGAGTATACAAAGAACTCAAAAAATTAAACAATAAGAAAACAAATAACCCAATCAACAAATGGGCCAAAGACCTGAACAGACACTTCTCAGAGGAGGACATACAATCAATCAACAAGTACATGAAAAAATGCTCACCATCTCTAGCAGTCAGAGAAATGGAAATCAAAACCACCCTAAGATACCATCTCACTCCAGTAAGATTGGCAGCCATTATGAAGTCAAACAACAACAAGTGCTGGAGAGGATGTGGGGAAAAGGGTACTCTTGTACATTGCTGGTGGGACTGCAAACTGGTGCGGCCAATCTGGAAAACAGTATGGAGACTCCTGGGAAAGCTGGGAATGGAACCACCATTTGACCCAGCTATTGCCCTTCTTGGACTTTTCCCTGAAGACCTTAAAAGAGCGTACTACAGGGATACTGCTACATCGATGTTCATAGCAGCACAATTCACAATTGCTAGACTGTGGAACCAACCCAGATGCCCTTCAATAGATGAATGGATAAAAAAAATGTGGCATTTATACACCATGGAGTATTACGCAGCACTAAAAAATGACAAAATCATAGAATTTGCAGGGAAATGGATGGCATTAGAGCAGATTATGCTTAGTGAAGCTAGCCAATCCCTAAAAAACAAATACCAAATGTCTTCTTTGATATAATGAGAGCAACTAAGAACAGAGCAGGGAGGAAGAGCAGGAAGAAAAGATTAACATTAAACAGATACATGAGGTGGGATGGAAAGGGAGAGAAAAGGGAAATTGCATGGTAATGGAGGGAGACCCTCATTGTTATACAAAATTACATATAAGAAGTTGTGAGGGGAATGGGAAAATAAACAAGGAGAGATATGAATTACAGTGGATGGGGTAGAGAGAGAAGATGGGAGGGGAGGGAGGGGGGATGGTAGAGGATAGGAAAGGTAGCAGAATACAACAGTTACTAATAGGGCATTATGTAAAAATGTGGATGTGTAACCGATGTGATTCTGCAATCTGTATTTGGGGTAAAATTGGGAGTTCATAACCAACTTGAATCTAATGTATGAAATATGATATGTCAAGAGCTTTATAATGTTTTGAACAACCAATAAAAAAAATTAAAAAAAAAAGAATATATTGGGGGGTGAATGGGACATGTTTAATGGAGTTCTTTATATTGTTTATGTTTAATTATGTAATCTGAGTCATATGTGAAATAAAATTGTTAATATTAAAAAAAAATATATTGGCAGGTGCTAATTTATTAGCCTTCCTATTTTATTAATATTACTCAAATGGAAATATTTCCTAGTAATAATTTTTAAATTGTTAATGTATTTTCAACACAATGAATAATATTGTAATATGTTATATCCATAATATTACTGAAGATTAGTGTTAACTACAGCAGCCAGGAATACTGACCCTTTCTTTCAAGCCTGTAGCAATACAGCCAACACTGCATATTAAATAGAGATGTAGATTTTGCTCATTTAATAAAATTCAGTCTAGACACTAAAATCTATTCAGAAACCAATGTCAGTATATTTTTTTCAGTTAAATTTCATGTAATTAAAATTTTAAAATGTGTAAAAAATATGGATTTGGACAGTGATTCAAAATAAGAGCATGTGCAAGTCTCAGAGGTAAACCAGTTAGAAGCAGAGTTGAATATTTCCACACATTTCAATATTTATGTACATGAAGAAAAGAGATCAGTTTTCATAGGAGTGCTTTTTACCTTAATGTAATTTTAGGTCACTGAATGATTAAGGTGGGATTGTTGTCATAAGCAAAAATAGAAATAGACACACAATGCAGGAAATTGTAAGATTAAAAATACCCTCTGGATGAATTTTTGACTGTGTAATACCTGGATTCAGATACATGAGATTATCAATTACTCAGGAAGTCCAGAGAATTAATAGTTGAAAATGGGTAATAACATCACACAAAGACACAATTCACATTTCATTAATTAGTTTCTGAGAAATATAACATTTAATTTTTAGAAACTTTACCATCAATACATTAACTATTGTTTTCATGGCTCAAACAGCTTTTTAAAGTTTTTTTTTCAATGTTGATATTTTAAAATGCATTTTCTAATAAGATATCATTTCAAGATGATTCCCAAACTGAAGAAAAATGTAGAGCTTTTCTCAGTAGACCTAAGCAAGAAGTCCAGATGCAACCATTGTATTACATTGTAAAATACAACATGTTTCTAGATAGTTATTGGAAAAAATAATTTACAGTACTTTAGAGGACACGATTTACATATCCAAAAGCAATAAAGTATAAAAAGAGAGCTACACTAAACTTATTTATATGATACTAAGTTACAAATATGATTTAAAATTAACTTGACACACTGGGATCTTTCATGAGAAGGAAGATGTGTACAGTATGTTCAAATGTATATATAATTTAAATGCAGATTATACAACACACTTTGGAGTAGCAATTCCCTTCTAAAATATAAAAGTAGTGTTTTGAGAATAAATATGTATGTTAATTTAACATGTAAAATAACAAGCTGTACTTCAGTTTGCTGAAAATGAACATATATAGTTTGGTAATCCCTACAAGGGAAGTTTAACATAATTCATTTGAATAAAATAGAATCTCACAAATTTTTTTTTTCTTAAATGCATTACTTTTTTATTCTTCAGTAATGCAGATATACAGAGATGTTGAAACTCAGAAAACTAATAGATTAGGAGTTAATGAGGTATAGATGAATTTCTAGGCGGCAGCTATTTAGACTGGTTAAAAGAAAGTAAGGCATTTTCACCTATCTAGAAATGGTCACAGTATAACTGCCCTTTCACCAATTCAGGTGCACACATAAGCTCAGTAACTACTGCATAATTATTATATTTTAATATTTTTAGAACTCTGAGAAAAAATAAATACTCCTTTCTTTTCCAAAAGCTTGGAAGGAAAACGTAGCAATTGAACTCCATTCAAGAGGGAGTTCAATTGGGAAACTGATTCCTTTGAAAAGGGAAGGAAACAAGGAAGCCCACAATGCAGATTAAAGATGAGCATGTGCATGGAGAGGCCTGAAGGATAAACCTCCAAAGTCTGTGAAGTCCCATCATTATGATCAGCAAGAGCACAAATTGATGGAATCATTTTGTTAAAAAACTATGAGTAATTAATAATATAAATGAGTGAACTTCAAAATTAACAAAGTAAAAATGTCTTTTTATGACTTTACTAGAGTATACTATTTCATAGTAAGTTATTACCAACTTTTGATACATAAATAAATATTTTCAAGCATTAAAATAAAAAATGAAATGAAATGACAGTGACTAAATAATGAGTTCTCCATGAGATATATTTTTTAAAATTCCATAAATGTAACAGAATACAACCTCATAGGGACAATGCTTGATGGGGTAATTTCATTAGAACAACACAGGGAATAAACAGAAAATAATGTAAAAGTGGTCTAGGGTAACATGTAAAGGAAAAAATAAATCTTAATAAAGAATTGCCTTTGGACCTGGAACATTCCTAATAGCTCAAATGACTTTAAAATCACATTGAAGACTTAGAATTATCATTTATTTTCATGTTTATATTCTAAATAGCATGTCATCTTTTTTTCCTTTGTTTTATGAATTTATATAATTATTATTTTAAAGTAGTCATTCCTTACCTTTGATTCTTGAACTTTCTTGACTTTTTTCCTGCTGGAATTAAAACAGAAGTAGTTAAAACTCTTTAAGTAAGTATGTAGTCAACAGTTTGATATAAAATATCATTGTTAAAATTAATTAAAAGTTTATTTACACATACCCAGGAAACACTATAATACAATTCTCACTTTAAAATTTACTTACTTAAAATCTTTTATTGCATTAGTAATAATTCTTGGTGGATATAAATTTTCTAAGAAACCTATATGTTACATAAATATTAATTTATAAATAAATTACATATATATATATATATATATATATATATGTGACACCTCTTAAATGCTTTAAATCATACCATTTAATTTCAACAGATAATGAATAATGTCTTCAGAATTTGCTTTCAACTGCTCTATATTGATCATTAATTGTTGGTAAAAGTAATAGTTTAATGGCAAACATACTGGCAAATTCCACTAAAATGACAAAAAGTACAATTTTACTGTCTTTTCTTCGATTTAACTTAGAATTGGACCCTGTCTCAGTTATTTAAGGTTAAATTGACAACATTTCTATTATTTATTCAAAGGCTGCTCCAGTCAGACCTGTCTCTCAATTTGACATATTCCTTATTAGTTACCAGGCAACCCCAAAAGAATTAGCTTGCTTTCAAGTTTAAAGTAGATATTATGCACTTTCTAACTTCTCAATTAAGATTCAAGAACAGTTTACTCTGTTTAAAAGTTTCAGGATCTCACACTGAAAATAATTTCAAATATACTTCAAAAAAGAAATTGAAATTACATATATACTGAACTACAGAGTTGCATAAATGCCAATGAATTTTGGTAACAGGAGAGAGAGAGAGAGAGAGAGAGAGAGAGAGAGAGAGAGAGAGAGAGAGAGAAAGCATTTTATCATAAAAAATTCCAGATTCAGAGCTTGAGAGTAAAACTGCATATTGGAAAATATACATTTATTGAACCAGTTAACCCAGTGCTCTTAGACTTTGAGACTTTGTCTTCTAATTCTCTCATACTAACATATTTAATATCTGTGTTTATATTCTGTCTATTCTTTAGCAGTTAATTGATTTTTCTAGTTCTGATTTATTTTTAATTCAGTGTCTGTTGGTCACTTAAACTAAAATTTAAATACAAAGTATTTTTAAATACATTATTAATTAATCAGTATAGGATTAGCAGTCTTAAATTCTCCACAGGGACATTTGTTAATGAATCTTTCTTCCTTTCTCTCTCTCTCTTTCTCTCTCTCTCTCCCTCTTTCTCTCTCTCTTTCTCGCTCTTGCTCCCGCTCTCACTCTGACATTCATTTATTCATTTGATCTTTCATTCATCCCCTCTCACTAAATATGTACAGATAGCTTTCTAAATATACTAAGCCATATTCTGGGTAATTAAGATTTTAAGAGATGAACAAAACACAAAAAAATCAATTAGGATGTAGTGGAACATACTGCATAGATGGTGTAACTTCTATTCAGAAAGAGATATGCCACAGAAGGTGACAGTGTTGGCATGGAGTGACTGCAATTAAAGAAATAGCTGCAAAGATAAATTGATTTTTGAATAAAATTCAAAGAGATATGAGCCTATGATGTATGCATATATATGGTGAAAACATTCTAAGAGAGAAAATTACAACAGATCAACACCAAGACACATTATAGTAAAAATGCCTAGCATACAGAATAAGGATAGAATTATAAAAGCTGCAAGAGAGAGGAATCAGATCACATATTGGGGGAGACCAATTCGTATCTCAGCAACCCACATCTTCAAAGCCAGGAGATCATGGAACAACATATACCAACCTCTGGAAAAAAAATGGATGCCAACCAAGAATCTTATATCCAGCAAAACTAAGCTTTATTTTGATGATGAAATAAAAACTTTCCATGATAAACAAAAGTTAAAAGAATTTACAACAATTTAGAAAGCCTGCACTACAGAACATGCTCATCAAAATATTCCAAGAAGAGGAAATGCAAAACAATAATAAAATTCAGCAGAGGGACGGATTACACAAAAGGGAAATCTAATCAGAGGAGAAACCAAGTCACATTAAATAGTTAAATAACAAAGATAAACAAAAATGGTTGGGAACACAAATCATGTCCCAGTAATAATCCTGAATGTTAATAGCCTAAACTCACCAATCAACAGACATGGACTAGCAGATTGGATAAAAAAAAAATGTGCTGACTCCAAGATACTCATCTCATACAAAAAGACATCCACAAACTGAAGTGAAGGGTTGGAAAAAATAATACCACTCACACAGATTGTGGAAGCAAGCAGGGGTTCCCATCCTCATATCAAATAAAGTAGACTTCAAACTAAAGTCAATCAAAAAGGACAAAGAAGAACACTACATACTGCTCAAGGGACACATACACCAACAACACTTTACACTTTTAAATATATATGCCCCAAACAACAAAGCAACTACATTCATCACACAAATTCTTCTCAAATTCAAGAGTCAGATAGACCACAACACAATAATTTTGGTTGATTTTAACACACCTCTTTCATCAGTAGATAGATCTTCCCAACAAAAGTTGAACAAAGAAACTATAGAATTCAATAATACAATCAATAACTTAGACTTGACTGACATATATAGAATATTTCATCCTTCAATGAGAGAATACATCTTAGCAGCACATGGATATGGATCCTTCTCTAAAATAGACCACATATTATGCCACAAAGCAACTCTTAGCAAATATAAAAAAGTAGAACTACTACCCTCATTCTATCAGATCATAATGGAATTAAATTAGAAATCAATCATAAAATAAGAAATAAAATCCACTTCAACACCTGTAGACTGAATAATATGCTACTGAATGAACAATGGGTTACAGAAGACATCAGATCAAAAAGTTTTTAGAAGTGAATGAGGACACAGATACAACATATTGAAATCTCTGGGACACTATGATAGGAAAGTTCATTGCATGGAGTTCATTCCTTAAAAGAAGAAAAAGTAAACAAATAAATGACTTAACACTATATCTCAAAGCCCTAGAAAAAGAAGAACAAATCAACACCAAAAGCAGGAGAAGATAGGAAATAATTAAAATCAGAGCTGAAATCAATGAAATTGAAACCACAGAAACAACTGAAAAAAAATTGACAGAACAAAAGTTGGTTCTTTGAAACATAAATAAAATTGACAAACCCTTAGCAATGCTAACAAAGAGAAGGAGAGAGAAAAAATGAATCACTAACATACTGATTAAAAAGAAATATTACAACAGACACTACAGAAATACAGAAGATAATTAGTATTATTTTGAAAACTTGTACTCCAATAAAATAGAAAATACCAAAGGCGACAAATTTCTATACTCATATGATTTGCCCAAATGAATCAAGATGATATACACAATTGAAACAGATCAATTTGAAGTGACGAAATAGCAGAGGCCATCAAAAGCCTACCAACCGAGAAAAGCCCAGGACCAGGTAAATACACAGTTGAGTTCTACAAGATTTTTAAAGAAGAACTAATACCAATACTCTCCAATTTATTTCAGGAAATAGAAAAAGAGGCAGCACTGCCAAACTCATTCTATGAGGCCAATATCAAAACCAGGCAAAGACACATTAAAAGAAACAAACAAACAAACAACAAAAACTTCAGACCAATATCTCTAATGAATATAGATGCAAACATTTTCACATTCTCAATAAAATTCTGGCAAATCAAATACAAAAATATATCAAAAAGATGGTGCACCACTAAGTGGGATTCATCCCAGGGATGAAAGTTTGGTTCAACATATGGAAATCAATTAATGTAATTCATCATATCAACAGACTTAAAGGTAAGAATCATATGATCATCTAAATAGATTCAGAAAAAAAAAACATTTGACAAAGTACAGCACCACTTTATGTTAAAAACACTAGAAAAACTAGGGATAACAGGAGCATATCTCAATATCATAAAAGCTATCTATGCTAAGCCCAAGGCCAACATCATTCTAAACAGAGAAAAATTGAAGGCATTTCCTCTAAAAACTGGAAGAAGACAGGGACGCCCTCTTTCACTGCTTCTGTTTAACATAGTTCTTGAAACACTGGCCAGAGCAATTAGATAGATGAAAGAGTTTAAAGGCATACACATAGGAAAAGAAGAACTCAAATTGGCACTATTTGCTGATAATATAATTCTATACATAGAAGACCCTAAAAGTTCCACCACAAAACTTCTAGAACTAGTAAATGAATTCAGCAAAATAGCAGGATATAAAATCAACACCCATAAATCAAAGGCATTTCTGTATATCAGTGACAAATCCTCTGAGAGGGAAATGAGAAAAACTACCCTATTTTCAATAGCCTCGAAAACAAAACAAAACAAAACAAAAAACAAACAAAAATACTCAAAAACTTGAGAATCAACTTAATGAAAGAGGTGAAAGATCTATATAATGAAAATTACATTACACAACCCTAAAAAAAGAAATCAAAGAAGACCTTAGAAGATGGAAAGATCTACCTCGCTCTTGGACAGGCAGAATTAATATTATTAAAATGAACATACTTCCAAAAGCACTATAGAGATTTAATGCAATTCCATCAAAATTCCAATTACATTCCTCATAGAAATAAAATAAGCAATCATGAAATTCATCTGGAAAAATAGGAGACCCACAATAGCTAAAGCAATCCTTAGCAGGAAGAGTGAAGCAGGTAGAATCACTATACTAGACCTCAAACTATACTACAGAGCAACAGTAACAAAAACAACATGGTATTGGCACCAAAACAGACTGGTAAACCAATGGTACAGAAGAGAGGACACAGAGATTAACCCACAAAACTACAATTATCTTATATTAGACAAAGGCACCAACGACATGCATTGGAGAAAAGATAGCCTCTTCAACAGATGGTGCTGGGAAAACTGGAAATCCATATGCAACAAAATGAAATTAAACCCCTGTCTCTCACGATGCACAAAACTCGACTCAAAATGTATCAAGAACTTATGAATACAACCAGAGACCCTGTGTC